AACCGTGGTGCGCCTTTGGATCGACGGCTACAAAATACCGTAAATACCAGTGTTTTCAGCTCCTCCTGTCTTCAAGCGTGGCCTTAGACCTTGCCGCGGCTGTGGATCGACGGCAACGAAACCTCGTAAATACCAGTGTTTTTGAGCACGTCCTGTTTGCAAGCATGGCCTGCGGCCACGCAATTTAAAGGGTCGCCGCACGTCACTATGTAAATCCGAAGTTGCATTTGAGAAATATGTGACTCCTTTTGAAGGCACGTCAACCTGTATTGAAACCGCTAGACCGCTACAGCTTCTGGAGGTTTTGTCAAGCGTTTGTGCATTAGCTTTTCTTTCATCACGCTCACTCACTTCTCTTCAAACAAGTGGGGGGCCTCTCACCTCCTCCCGGATTACGCCTGATTCCCTGCTACCTTTCGTTCACCCCCCTCCTCTCTCAAGTTCACTTCTTGAACCACTTGGGGGGCTTATTTGGCCAATCCCATTGGGCAAAGCCGGTGGTGCCCTGTCTGACCGGCCATCTGCGCCGCGCGCAGGTGCCCGATGAGACCTTGGTGGAGCGCGGCTGCGGCCGCCGCGACTCCGTCGCAAGAGCGCCGAGCGCGCAACAGGGAGACCGGGCCATTGAGGCATGGTTTCATGATGGTTTCATGTTGGTTCATGTTTCGTTTTGTATGGAATATATGCCATTGATCCTCCAAACCACCTCAATGTAGGCAAATATATAAGCATACCTGGACCTTCATGTCGGGGTCACTTGGCTGGTTTCGCCCCAGCCCACCACTTTTTTTAGGGACCGACAGGACACTCCGAAAGAAGGTCCAGGTATTTTCGGACGGTTTTATTGGTTTTGGCATGTTTTGGTTCAATCATGTCCAAAATAATCGAATTTTGAAAGAAACTCAATTTTTTGCGTTTCGCAGCCTGCGGGGTGACTCTCAGACTTGAAAGTGGAAACAAACACATCCTTCCAAACATCTCTCCGATGAAGTCCTTTGCCACCCAGGGCTGACAGCTTTCCATTCAACTCCCAATCGCTTTTGGTGTTCGCCTCGCCATGGCGGTGTTTCCGCGACCGTCGGTGAGAAAGCCGACTGTCCCCGTTCGTGTGAGGCCTCGATCCTGAGACAGGGGAGATCTACCACCTGAAGTTTAGGCGGAGAACACGTTTGGTGACGGTACCGTTGGGACGGCCTGTAGGACGTCCCAAGATGGACCCACTTGGTCGGAGGGGCATGCACAAGACTTCTAGGGTTACAAATGCTCACCACAAAAGAGCGAGACTGAGACTGCCAGAAAGATGTTACATGTGGCCCTTCTGTGGCCAAGAAAGGCATACATACATAGGTTCTTGGCCCTGGCCTTTTGTTAGCAGCTCTTCCGGTTTGGTCGAACGGCTAGGCCGCCACCCGAGGAGGTGGTCGAGCGCTTGGTGCACCGCAGTGACGACCAGGACAGGCGATGTTCAGCCGCGGTTTGGCTACGCTGGTTTCGCCGCCGTTCGGGGCCCAAGATTTTGGGGTAGGGACCATAGCATTAGCTTTAGCTGGAATAGGCAAATCACACCAGACCAAAAGACGGAAAGCACCAATAGAATGATACGTGATGTTATGGGTACTCCACGCAGTAACCAGATATGATATGTTCAATAAATGATATGGATTAATTGATAATTGACTTTTAAATAAACATAAACACATATTTAGACATTTCTAAATAGTTATATATATATATGAAACCTCAGTAAGCGGATTATAACCTCCTAAGTCAGATATGGGAAAAGGTAACAAATATTA